TCCCGCTGCTCTTCCTGCTTCTCCTTGCCATGACTTTTCGCTGTCTGTCACCCTGCTGATGTCCGCTGCTCCCCCCTTGGGAGGCACTTCACCTCCTTCACTGCTTTGCTCTCTCCCTGTCAAAAATGAAATCACAATCTTAAGAAAATACACATTCTCTTTTGTGAAACCTATCATTTTGGGACTAGCATAAATTGCCGTCAAGTGCAGCTGTAGAACTAAGGTTAGATGGATGCTAAAATCATGATAGTAACATTACATAATAACTCCGACACTGGCAGTTGCTCATGGAAGTATTTGTTGTTCGGTGTTTTCTGTAGTTATTTAGTTCTGTAGTTGATAACTAGATCAGCAACGCAGTATTACTTAGGGTTTGCTGCTTAGACATGAAAATAGCCTATATGTATAAAATCAGTCATTATTGTGATTTTCATTAATAGGGGATTCAGCCTTTTCCTTTGTGATCTGATTGTGCAGTAAATGTGTCATTTGTTCGTTTGCTTAACAAATATGTTTTGAGTTATTTTTACAGTGAGAAGAACTGTACGTACCAGTGAGGTTAATGAAGGATCTATTGACTAAAATTGGTAGACTTCTCTTTCCCAATCTGCCAACAGCTTAGAGCAATAGAATTTGGCTTTTTTTTTTTTTTCCATTTTGTCAGATCTCACTAGTGTGCATCCTTTAAAATATTTTGGGCATGTTTCTGCTACTCTTTTTTTTTAACATGAATTTTGTATTTCCAAAATATACTAAATAATTTGAAATTTGAATTCTCAGTATAATACATAAATCTTAAAGTATAATGAAGATATTTCAATAATTTTTTGTGATTATGGATCATGGTTATAGCCTAAGGACTAGTGACATTGACTTAATAGGAATCTTTTTTCAGTATTGTTAAGGAGAATGCTCGTGTGTGTGTGTGTGTGTGTGTGTAATTGGGCCAGTTGTGGCAGGTCGATGAGTGTCAAGGAGAATAACTTATTTTGAACTAAACTCAATGAGATTTTAATTTGCGATTTTTATAGCCTTTTCGGAGATTCTATGGAAGGGACTGCTTATTTTTATACCTTTAGAGACTATGTGGATTAACTGCTTGAACACTGGGGTAAACAAAAGCATCTTGAGTGCCAGTCCTGTTAGTGCTTACTTAAGAGGAAAGAGTAGGCTCGAGATGATTTAGGTAAAGCTTTTTAACACAGTTTCCAGCACAAAGCAAGAGCTCTTTGAATGTCTTTATTTATTATTTGTGATAGTTGTTGTTTTAAGAGTGTTTCGGCTCTTAGTCATGTAGCCCTGGAGCATTTTCTTTGTTGGGAAGAAATGAGATAAAACTGACTCTTAAAATAATATTTCTAAAATCATTAGTAATTCAGTTGAATCCTAGCCTTCTGAGAGTGTGGAAGTATAAATTGTCCTGAAGTGGTGGCAGTAATTAGCAACGAGTATTATTTTAATGGTTTATAAAACAAAGGTAAAACAAGGCCTGGCTGAATCTAAATGATCACAGAATATCACTTTTCTATTAACTGTTTCTTGAAAATAATGCCAAATTTTAAATTTTCCTGAAAAGGTTAAGACCCGTTTTTTAAATAATCAGGACAGTGAAGGTTTCGCCTTGCCTGGCGTCCAGCCTAAAAGCTCTATGTGTAGTTCGCTGTTCAGCTTTTCAGACCAAGTATTTCCAATTATTTTATACAAGCCGAGATAAACCTTATTTTGACTTTGAAGGCATGTTGAAGTCAGTGATGTTTAATTTACAGCATTGTTCAGTGGTGAAATGGAGTTGCAAATTGTTCTGACACTTCATGAGATAATGTTGAATGAATTATTTAGTGTTAAATGAAGAACCCTGCTAAATTATTTTAAACTATTCAAGGTTAAAGTATTTTAAGATATAGTCCTTTAAAAGTATGTCATCTTTTCAGTCCATAGATTAACCTTTTGAGTTTTGAATCATAATATATGCTCTTTTAATTAAAACAAAAGTCTTGAAGTTGACTCGTTAAATGTAAAATAAAAAAGTTAAATTTTTATATGAGCTCTTTATTTTTAAGAAGTTAATTCGTTGTTTTCCTTTATATATGTAAAAGATGAAATACTTTGAGAATAAAAATGGCACCGTGTTCTCTGGCCGATGACATTGGCTTTTAGAACTGTCGAATTAGAATGGAAAAGAAAGTGAGCCACATGGACCCAAATGAGGACGCAGTGGCTTCAGATAATTTCTTCCAATAAATTACAGCGTCAGAGCATGACAGGAATAAGCTACCATGTATGCAGATGCACTTACCTAAACAGACTGAAACCCCGAGGAATTTTCAGATTGTGAAGTAATGGCGACAATCATTTAATGTGGAAGGAAGGAGCTAGTACATGCCTTTCTCCTCGAATGTCTCATAACATTAAATTGTGGACTAAGGCGATTGAAACGGAAGGTGATTTGGTGGCAGCATGATGGAGAGAGAGGCCAGCCCCCTGGTAACTGATTGCGTTAGGGGGCAGGTGTTCTGAAATCGGCTGCTACTTAGCTTGGTTTTTTCTCAAGGAGTTACACGTGCTTAGTTCTCACACTTTGTAAACATTTCTGTAGGTCTCCAATCACTTTTTTCTCGCTAAAGGTTTACCTGTTAGTCACTTTGAGACAGCCTCGCAGCTTGGAGGCGGCTTTTTGACCCAGTCTTCCTGCCTTGCCTCACCTTTGTAAGCATGTTCTGCCCTGCTCCAGCTGCCTGCAAGGGCGCACCTGGGGCTTCCTTTGTCCTTCACAGCGGCATGCAGTCAGTTGTCATGATGCTGCCCCCATCCCTCTTCAGTACTGCAGTTACTTAGTTACAGGTGAATGGTTTTTTAGGGTTAGTCTTCCACTAGAGCAAGCCTTAACTGCGACATCCCCAACCTCTGGCCCAGTGCCTGGCAGAGGTAGAGGCACCCAGTGACACCTGCTGGATGATGGCCAGTAGGAGGCTCTGCCTGGACCCCGGCCATGACACAGCTGCATCCTGATGTGGATGTGGGAGATAAGAAGGGACTAGATCCCAGAGGGACAAGCCGTCATGTGAAGGAGCTTGTGTTTCATCCAAGAACGGTTAAGTGGCCATTGAAGGATTGTAAGCCCAAGGCCATCCTTAAGTGGACTCCTACCTCCCTTCTCGACTTCTAGCTAGCGCTTTCTTCATGGTTCATAGTGTGTTTGTCACATGAAAAACAAAGTAACATTGTATATATGATATATGGTTACATATACAGTAAGTTTCTGTAGACATTTTTAGGGTACTTTATAAATCTTTTTGTGTATATAAAGTATATCTTTAGATTTATAAATAATTGAAAGAATTAAAATATATTCAATATAGAAATGACTATACTGAATTTGGAGATCATGGTGAAAACAAAGCCCATAGTATTTATAGCTTTCAAATTAAAAAAGCAGTGGTAGATATCTGTTATCTTCTGAGTAACTTGATGTTATATATCTAAAAATAGGCAGAAGCAAATAGATAATTAACTTTATCCAAGGAATTAAATAAATAATAAGAATGTTATAAATACAGGTATCTTTTATAATGCAAGTTGTGCTTTTGAAGGAATTTTAAAGGAAAATTATTTTTTAGTTCCTGTTTTATTGAACCAAAGAACTAAAATACAATAAAGTAATATATGTTGAGCATGAATTGCTTTTAATTGACCAACATTCTTATGGCTTTCAAACTAACCTTCCAAGAAACGATTTTGTTCTTTAAGAAAGTGTACTTCCTTTTCCGATTATAAAAGTAATTGATGCTTATTGCAGAAAAGTTAGAAAACAGCAATCTTAAAATGTATTAATTCTCTTCTCTGCCTTCCCACCTTTCATGTTAGCGCCACTTGATTTTTTTAAAAACCACCTTTTTTTTGTATTTATTAAGTAGGCAGTTTTCTAACATGGTTCTCAGTTTATCTGCTGTGACCATTGCATCCCACTAGTTCCTTTTGGATTCATTTTCCTTTTTACTGGAACAAATCCTTGAGTATTTCTCTCAGTAAGGATCTATGAACGATAAACTTTTTTGTCCAAAAGTAGTTTATTTTACTCTTGTTCTTCAATGAAAATTTAGCTATATTTGGTTGGCGATTTCTTGCAGCGCTTTAAATATATTCTAGTATTCTCATGTCTTACTGATAGATGTCTAAAGGTACAATAGTACCTTTTGTTTCCTTAAAAATAGTCACTTTGGAGAGCTGTACCTTTTCCCCCTTAAACCACTTTTTAGATTTACTGTGCTGATATACCAAATTAATCAATTTTTAAAATAAATAAATGGTAGAGTGTGAGTCACTAAGTATGGCAACATTTAGTCCAAAACTAAATCAGGTCCTAAGATTGCTACTTGAATATATATGTAATCGTCAAGTATTGTGTTTTGTAATATGCTGTACATAGTGTCATATGTTTATTTTATGGCTCTTTTTGCAAAAGCAGTATTTTGACTTATAATTTGATGGAGTCCTGCAATAGACCAGTGCTGTCCAGGAGAAGTTTCTGTGGTGATGGGCGTGTTCTGTGTCTGAGCTGTCCGATAAAGCAGCCACCAGACGCTGGGGGGCAGCTATTGTCCTTCTATTTACCTTTATCTCTTACCAAGTGCTAGAATTTTTTAATTAATAACTTGAGTAGCTTTAGGTCACATAAGTTAATTCATTTGCACGTGTAGATTTTCTTTAAAAAATGTAAAGCCGATTAGCTTGTTTTAGTAAAGGATTGACTGTAGTGTAAGATTAGAAGTAGGTTGTGGAATTATAATGATGGTTTATATGTTCAGTTTCTGGTCTAGTTTCTGCATTACAGTCATATGTTCTATGTGTGTGTTTGCAGTGTTACGGTAAGGCTGGTATGTCTTCTGTGGTTACGTATATATTAAGTGTTAGTTCTTGAGTAAGAAGAATTATAGGAATAACTCTTCAGGTTTCTCTCTAATAAACATGTGAATTGGTTAATCAGGCCTTCTGTTTTTCAGATTGCAAATAGAAGAGTCTTCCAAACCTGTGAGGCTGTCACAACAACTGGACAGAGTCGTGACAACCAATTACAAACCTGTTGCCAATCATCAATACAATGTGAGTCTTCATATCTTCATCCATTCCGTTACTTCTTTACTCTTCTCTGTATCATGGACTCAGTTTTGAAAGGACCTCAGCAGTCACACACCTTGCTACCAGGAGCTTGAGTTCTCCAGACTCAGTAAGGAACATGACAGTCTGCCAAGCGTGGAGAGACGTTGGCTCTGTCCCAAGTTATACAGTGAGAAGAAGCCTCCTGCTGTTCAGACTACTCGTGATAAGTTTTTCAGAGAAATCAGACACTCCATTTTTCACTGTTTCTAATGTTTTAAATCACAGTGTCCTTAATAAATATTAGTTTTACTTTTTTCATCTTTCCGTACCTTTATAACTGAGAATTTTTAATGTTTTGACAAAAATTCAAAGTCATAGAACAATGGTAATTTTTCCCACTGATTATTAAGGTGCTTCTCACCGTGGGCATTTTTATGGTCTCATACTACCATGCAAGGTGAGGGCTGCCCAGGCGTTTTTTGAAACCTTTCGTATTGAAGCATATCACATATACTAAATGTATTTTAGTCCTACAATATATAACACACACCTATGTATGTTATGTGTACTCTGTGTCAGGTACCGTTCTGAGTGTCTCATAAATAGTGACACATTTAATCACCATCCCTACCCTGTGGAGGAACGATGAGTTTTATTCTCACTGTACAGAGGAGGTCACGGAGACACGGAGGCGAACTCACTCGAGCTCACACAGCCAGTAACTAACCAGTCCGGGTGCCAGACCCAGGCAGCCTGGTTTAGGAGCCTCGCTCTTAATGAACCGGCGGCTGTGTCGCCGCAGGCTGCTGACCCCCGATTGGGGGTCTTGACGTGCCTGGGATGTCCGGAGGAATGTGACGGTGCTCTGACAGTAAAGTGAAGCTGACGTAGCAGCTAACAGTTGAAATCTTGTGTTCCGCTTTATTTGCTTAAGGTCCTCTGGCGTTTAGGAGAAATAAACTCTCTTTAAGACTGGTTTTAAGTGTCTAGACTCATTAAGTGGCACAGAGTAGTACTTGCCAAACCCCTACTTTATGGTAGTTGAGCTTCGTCCAGTTATTTTATGTGAGAGGCAGCAGGTGCCGGCAGGGCCAGGCAGGCATCCTCAGGGAGCAGAATGCTGACATTTCCCACGGTAAGATGGTAGGGCCTTTCATGAACCGGAGCACACAAGTCTCTTCTAAGACATTCAAATTTTTTAAATTGCTACAGCATGGGGATTAAATAAAGCAAGTCAGAATTCAGTTGCGTCCAGCCAGGCTTTGAGTTTGCAGCTCTGGTTATTGAAGCATAAGGGGGAAACAAGCTGAGGAGGAGCCCGCAAGTGAGTGACACAGAACTGTCGGATTATCCGAGAGTATTTTTCCGTTCCTTGTTGATTGAGACAGTAAATAAAAGTCTGCTTGTTTGTCCTCCTCTTTTCTCATCTTTTCTACTCTTAAATGGGAAGACATCCAAGTGGGAAGAGGCAGTAGAGCAGTGAAGTTCCTAACGGTCTCTGCCTGGCTTCGCCAGTGCGCGTCTCCTGTAGCCCTGACTGTGTCTTTCCCTCCGCTCGCGGGCCGGGCTTCTGTGCCGTCTCCACTCCTGGGTGTTTTTATCAGAGCGAGGACAAGAAGGACCTCACTCTCCGTAAGCTCTCAAGAGAGAGAACCTTCTGGAGAGAAGTTCGGTAAGAAAGAAAGTGCCCGAAGGATAGCGGTGTTGCTCTCTATTCCTTAGGATGGGGTAAGATTGGAAACCGATGTCCAAAAATAAAGTGAGTTAAATCCTGTAACAGTTGTTATTGTTGGGCGGTAGTGCTTTTATCCTATCGTTCTTCTTCATAAAGTCGTCTTGAGTCGTTGGGGTCGCCACAGTGAGTGCGTGTTGTCTGCATCGTTTCAGTGGGCAGTGGAGCTGCTGGGATGGGAAATGGCAGAAGCTGTGGAAGCGTGTGAGCACCTGGCCGTGACAGTGCCCTGCCACAGGTGCCTAAGATTTGTCTTCTCCAAACAACAGATGTTGTCTTCAGTGCCTGCGTGTGCCTGAGGCGCCCGCTCCTGATGAAGCAGGCGGATAAAAGCCCCGCCCCCGCCCCCGCGCACGTGTCGCGCCTTTCGGTTCCCTGGCCGGGCCTTCTCAGGCCCCGGGCGGTGTCATCCCTGTTCCCTGTGAAGGAGGACGTGCACTTTCCTATACTATAATCATTTTTTCCTAAATTCCACTGCCAGAGTCACTCTTGTTATTATATTACTGCTGCGGACCATAATTTCCAAGGCAACAGGAAAATCTTCGGTCAGTCAGAGCTGGCGCTTTGCTGGTGTCAAATCTCTGACCTCTTTCTAGTCCGTGTTCTTAGTGACACTGCCACTGTAACTACCTGGCAAGTACAGAAGACAGATTCCAGATGTCATATTAAGTTACATTTAGTTCATAGTATCAGCCTTTGTTAAGGTCGTCATAGTGCGAATGAGTCATTATGCTAATGTAATTATAGTAATGAGTCATATAGTAATTTTTTATTAAGATTTTATTTATATAAAAACAAAGATTGACTATTACCCACCACATTTGAATGTTTAGTAATTTTTCCCAGGGGGGTGTCTATCAGAGTGGGTGGAGACACCTGCATGGCTTTTATTTTATTGATTTATTTTTTTTACGCCTACAGCACCCGGTCTTCCGGGTGGTCTCCCATCCAAGTACTCACGAGGCCCGACCCTGCTGAGCTTCCGAGAGCAGACGGGGTCGGGCATGTTCAGGGTGGCGTGGCCGTGGACTGCATAGCTTCTAAAAGCATGTTTAGTATTATAATATCAGCTACAAGACAAGTGTAGACTTCCGTCATTGTTATCAGAAAGGGACACCGATTTTTAAAGGATTCTGAAACATTAACAGTTTAACAAGAGTGACTCCGTGGTTGTGTAATCAAGATGTTCAGTAGGAAATTTTAAACTCGATGTCATGTTGAAATGTTTTCCAAGTTTGCCAAGTGAGAGAATATAAACATGAATCCCAATATTTTAACAGTTGAGGTTCTTTGAGCACATTTACAAAATAAAAATAAAGGAAAAAAATCAGTGCAAAAAATGAAAAGGGAGGGACATGGTATATGTAACTTGTAAAACCGTATCTTTACATTTGATCAGAAAGAAACCATCTTGCATTTAGCCCTAGAAACTTTTCACCCTATGGCACATAGAAAAATTTACATACATGCATACATACATATATATGTATGTATATATGTATATATTATGTATGTATTTATATATATACACATATACATATATATATTAAAAAAATAATCTCCAAATATTTGAATTCCCACTTTGCACCTGGGGCTATTCTCAACATTCAGTCTAAGTTTATCTCTCTAGTTCACAGACACTCTGGGGTATGCAACCTACCTCCTCATCTTTCGGAAAACATTCATCAGGCCAAAAAGCATTCTACAATTGACATTCTCTCTTAGTTTAGTTCTTCCTCGAAAGCTTGGCCCTGAACAAGCCCGCTTCCTGGGGTGCGTGTGGCCTGTCGGGTTCTCACCTAGTGGCCTGTACTCTGCCTTAAATCCTCATTGTGTTGCAAGACTGGAACCTCACTCCCCAGAGGCCAGCGTTCCCCAAAGCAAGTGTTTTGAAACACTAATTTCGTGAGTCTCCTTGGGAAAAAAAAATAGTGGTATAAAATGGATTCTGTGTTAAAGGAACCTGTCCATCCTGATGATATCTGATTATAATGCCCTCTGCATTTAATACATTAATGTTAGGATCCTTTAGGAATTTGTTTAATCCTGCACTTTGCTGTGTGAATTGACCTTGGCACACTTATGCAGTCCCTGTGCTGGTCACTCAGTCTCCAGCAAGAGAGTAGAAGGCGCAGGACATAGAGGGGTTGGCGTTGATGCTTCAGTGCCTCATGCTTACATTTGCTTTCAGCATTTTAGGTTCGCTGCTAAATTCAGGAATTTGTAGATAATAGTGTCTATTATTAACTAAATTCAGCCTTTAAAAAATGAACAAATGGCTTAGAAAGATTCCTGCAAAGAAACTTTAGATTAAAGATAATACTAATAAAGAACATATATGTCAACAAGAAAGTAGAAAAACTGACATTTCTTTTACTTCTAAAATGATCTCTTTATCAGTCACTTTATGAGATAGAAACGATGATGATGCAATCCGATCTGACAAGAACTTGGCCTTTCCAAAAAGGAAATTATCAATATCATCTTAAATACAGCTTGCCATTCCCTGTCTTTAATGATGATGCAGTTCGTTTCCAGTGTGGAAACAAAAACAGCTCTAGATGTTCCAAGCAGAAAGGGATCTGATGGAGGGAATTGGTTACAAATGGCGCACGAACGCGAGGCGGAGAGGCTGGGGTCGGAAGAGGGAGAAGGAAGGGGCTCGGTTGCCATCGGAGGTGCTCCCACAGCTCACAAAAGAAAAAAAATCACTCTCCTCCTCCCGTTGGCAGAACCCCAGCTGGGAACCAGCTGGCAGGGAATCTTGGGAGTGGAGCCCGCAGGTCCCCGCTGCCACCACCCCAAGTCTTGGAGCTGCAGGCGTGTCAACAATAAGTGACACAGTGGCCCTTGACCTTCGTGCATGGTGTGCCTTAAATCTCATCAGCTGTTGCTGGTACGAAGCTATCGCAGTTTGCAACTCATTTAAAAACTAGCATCCAAACCATGGGGACAGATCACTCAGTTTTGAAAGCAGAAGAGTTTTGTAATTTTGACAAATTAAAACTTATTCTTAAAATAATGTTTTATTTTTATGCCATTCCTTTAAATTTTTGTGTTTGCTTATGCTTTATGATAACTATGCATATTAACACGGTGCATTTTTACAATTTACAAATATACATATATGTAGTTTACGTTTTAAAGTTTTGCTGACAGAATTATATAAAATATGGAGTCAGCTGATGTGTGAGCTTCCTTCCAGATCCCTCCATCTCTGATCACAAGTAAGGGTGCTTCGTTCGGCCTGTGTATTTTGGTTGACTTTGTGGACACCGTCGTCTAGACTGTGTAAATTTCACAGCATTCTCCGACCTTTTCTCCGGGGGATCATGTCCTCTCTTGTCTAGTGGTTCTCAGAGCTCGCTCTACACTAGAACCACCTGGGATGCTTTTAAAAAAGAAAAATACCTCCAGAGATTGATTTAATGGTCTGATGGGGAAGCCAACTGTCTTAAAATTTTCAGGTTCCCTCGGTAGTTCTGGAATGCAGCCACTGATTCAAAGAGACAGGAACTGGAGTCTCCTGTTGGGGGTGGGGGCAAAAATGACACCTGGAGGAGACCAGGAAGTCTCCTTCCACCAAATCTGAGGTTTCTAAACAGAGCGTTTTTTTTCTTGGTGGTTATCCCCTCTGCACCCCGACCCCGGCTTGAAGGAAGGTTGCTCCGCTCCCCCCTCCCCTTTTTTTTCCTGGCAAGAGCTCCTGGTCAGAAAGTGATAGGGAACTAGAAAAACTTAACTAGAAAATTAGTGTTGGAAGGAATAAAATTATTACATAAAATCCTGACGTAAGGCCCCAGGAACCAGAGAGAACGTTAGCTTTTATGCGTACTGTATTTCCTTCAGTGTGGCCACCAGCTCTGTTAGTCTTCAGGTTGTCGAGGGTTTGGGAGTTTATCGTTTGTGGGTTTTTTTGGTTATACTTATAAATTTGGAATTCTGATTAAAATAGATGCCTGCAGGACCGTGTCCTAAAGGCCTTTCAGCAGTATCTGCGCATTGTCGTGTCATGGAAGCCTGCTGCATGCTCTTGTCCCTTCGAGTTTGCACACCAAGGGCCGAGTGGCTATGAAGAATTAATTTGGTCGCACTGGGCACAGAGAGAAGCTGGGGGCGGGGCGGAGCTTTCAGAAGGGATTTAGAGTGCAGACCATGATAAGCAAGGCTGTCGGGCTCACTCCAGAAGTTAAAGCCTCCACAAACACGGCCTCGAGCAGGAGCCGAAGTATATCTGCACACAGCAGCCTAGGAACTTACAGGCGCCTGTGTCATAGGACTTCAATTGGCAGTGGGCGACCGTTATAATTTCGTCAGTGGTTAAGGGTCCAGTGATGGCTGAACATCTCTATACCAAATCCACAAGGGATTTTCAACGTTTGGTTGCATTTAAGCCTTGAATAATTTGTTTTCTATTGTGAAAGTAAAATCGTGTATGATGGACTTTTTGGATTATAAAAATGTGTAAGTGGAGACTACGTTGCAAGTTCTTTGGGAACTGACATCTGCTTCCGTGCAGCTGGTTGCACAGCGGAATGTGGTCACCGGGGGCAGACAAGCTCGGTGAGGAACACTCACCGTGTCAAAGCTGCTTCTAGACCAGTGGACCACCCTCCCAGTACTTGGTGCTGGTCCCCACAACTTAGATATCTGACTACCTTACTGTTCCTCACGATGCCAGTGCACAGGGGCCAAACAAAATGCCCAAAGGGAGAAGGCAGAAGAAGAAACAACATTATCTGAACTGTAGCCCTCTGAGTACACTAGTTCATACCTTTCGTCCTTGATTTACAGAAGTAATTTTATTTGTGCAAAGTTGCAAGTGCAGTGTTAAGATGATCATTTCTACTCCATTTAATTTTAATGAGAAGTTACCGCAGGAGCATTAGTATTGTCCTGAGTGTAAAATTAGTTCTTTGTAACTTGATGACCGTGGAAGTCATTTAAGTCCCGTTTTACAATTACGTATACGTTGGAACTACCTGGTCCCACAGGGTAGAATTTGGATGATGAGCCTGTCTCAGAAATTATCAAAAAAGATTTAACTAATACTATAGTACTATAGTAAATAACCTATAATACTATAGGTTATTTCACAGTATAGGCCCTGAAGGTATTAAAGAGATGTTCCACTTTACTTTTTGTTTTTAAAAATTAGGATTAAATTTCTAATACTTAAATTTCTTTAATGAGAAATAATATTTCCATTTTTGTCGTTGCTGTTATTTTTCTACATGTCTGGGTTTTCAGATTACACTTTTAAGTGTTTTAATTTCACCAAAGAAAAGTTAGGCTGCACTGCCTGCCCCCGGGCACTGACCTGTTTGTTTTTTGTTTTTTTTCCACTAATTCAAAGTGGAAAGCACCACGTTAAATGCAGTATTTTTGAGATCGAAGCATATAAACCAAGATTAAAAGAAAAAAGATCTCACTACTCATCACAGTTCTAATCATCACTTAATCTGACCTTTAATCTGATCCTTTCAGTTTTTATTTTGAAGTTTCTAACTTATTCTAAATGATTACCTCTTATTCTGAGATCCGACATGTGGCTCTGGGGTTGGGACAACTTCATAACAAACACGCGAGGCTTCTGTCTTCGCTGCCAGTCGAGTGTGTGCCCCCGACGTGGCCGTCTTGCTTGCCCAGCGGCTCTTGCTATTTGAAAACGTTTTCCCTGGTAATCTTCCCAGCTTCCCCAGCAGTTTTACACAGGAGAGAGACTCTAAGGGCGGGAGCTGAATGTACATCCCTTCTCCTCTTTCCTGTTTCCTGGATTTTCTGTCTTCCTTCGGCATAAGTTAAAGCTGAGGAGGGAGGGCAGACAGTCCCATGCAGCTGCGCCTCCATGCAGGGAGCACCACAGCCTCGCCCTGCTCTCTGGCTGGGTCCCCACGTGGAGGGCAGTGGCCTTTGCTGAGTGAAATCCCACCTCACTGCAGCCTGTGGGAAGGGAGTAGGCTTTCCCCGGCCCTCGTCAGTCGGATCCTCTCTCCCTGTCTTTTCTAGATCCTAAGTTTCTCTTATCCCACACTTGACCAGAGGGTTGTAAGAGCTTCATTCCCTGGTCCAGACTTCCTCCCGCTGTCTTAGGCGCCCTTTCCCGACCGCCCATCACAGTGCGAAACGCACAGCTGCTGCATGCACCGCGGCACGGACGGTGTCAGCTGGGAGCCGTCGTCAACGGGGAAGACACACATGCAGCCCTCGGTGGGCAGAGCGAGGTGTCAAATAGTCCTCCCTTAAGGCGGTGTGTGATGTCATCCTCTTCTTCATCCAGGGCCCTCCTGCTGGATTCGTGGGCTTCGTTTTGTCTTGATTATGCTTTCTCTCGCCATCATACAGCCATTCTCTGAACTCTGTCCTTCTTTTTGACCCTAGAGAAAGAAAATTCTTTCTTGACTGGGCCTCAGGTCCGTCCCTTTTGGTCTTTGCTCGCTTGCAGCCTCCTTCCTTGCTGGATTTCTTGCTGTACTTCGCCTTCGTCCTTAAATGTATTTTTCCATGTTTTCTGCATCTTCCCCGCACAGGGAGACTTGGGTGTTCCCCTTGGTCACAGGGTTCTCTGACTCCCCCTCCCCAGCCCTGCTCCTAGCTCTTCTAGCCCCTCAGCCTTCTCCCCTGGCCGCCGCTTAGCTGCCCGCGGGGGTTCGCTGCCATGCTCCTCCCACCCAGATCTCGAGGCTGCCGGGGTTTCTCTCCTCCCCAGCAGGACGGTCCGTGTCATGCATTTGCATTTTCTCCAGCACCATGATCTTGTCCTAGGGAGCTCTGTGACCCACTGTTACTACCTTTAAAATGCCCGTGGCCCCCTGTATACATTTGAATACCTGAGCCCTGAGGAAGGGGTGTGCGTGACAAGAAGCCATCTTATTTGCCCCATACCTTAGTGCAAGGCGAAACACATAGTCCATGCTTAATGAATCTGTTAAAGAGATGAATGGATTTTTTTTCACTGAATAAATTTGACATATAACATGTAAATTTAAGGCGTACAGTGTGTTACTTTGGTACATTCATAGTAATACTGTTGTAATGATATTTATCACATTACGTAATAATCGTACAGTATTATCCTGCAGTTCATGCCTATTTCCTCTAACCAGCCCTGATGCCTTATCAGAATGAAGTGTTTCCAAGAAAATGAAACACTTAACAGTAAGTTGCATGTTTTCAATACAAAGGTGATGTTTTACAAACGAACAAGTCCCTGGATGATATTGCCAGGAGACCCTGTACATTCCCGAGTGCCACTGCTTCATTCTGTAGGAGAGGAAATAAGTTCAGGGAGGTCACACAGATTCGGGGTGACAGATGGCCTCCTGTCATTGCCCATGTTCTCGCCTTCTTACCAACCCTTCCCAAATGTGTTGCTTCCTAGAGAACCTGTTCTATGTTCTGCCAGCTTCTGAACGCTCTGCCTGTTCCCCAAAACCCCCAGTCTTGAAAGATGTCACCTACCAAACTTCATCTGTTAGAGAAACTTACTATATTTGGGGTAATCAAAAACAAAAGACTGAAAGTTAGACTTTCTGATCACTGTGATCTAACCAGTAGCCACACTGAATTGATATAATTTTGGCAAAAAACACCTGTTTGGGGAGAAAGGGACACATCGCATAAAGCTTTAGGAAGTGACGAGCATGGTTCACAGACAGACACCAGTAGTGACCTAACACTCTTAGCGCCTTAGAGACCTGAGAGGCCCTGGAGCCCTGAGGACCGCGGCCCCTCCACCTGCCACCTCGCAGCCTGGACTCATGGTTACTGAGACGCTAAAAACAAAGTACCGGTGTTTCAGAGTGAGTGTGTTGAATTGATGCTTTTCTTTTTTTTGCTTTTTGCACATAGATTGAATATGAAAGGAAAAAGAAAGAAGATGGGAAACGAGCTCGAGCTGATAAACAGTACGTGTTGGATATGCTGTTTTCGGCCTTCGAGAAACATCAGTATTATAATCTTAAGGACTTGGTGGACATCACGAAACAGCCGGTGGTACGTATGCGCGCACATGGCTCCCTTCTTCGGCGTCAGTACGTGGATCGTATGTGAACACACTCACGTGCACCTATGCTAGGGTCAGGTTTTATTTCAACCCCCAGAAAAGAGTCTTTATTTTAATTTTCACTTTTCAATTAGAGTTGATGTTCAGTATGATAGTAGTTTCAGGTGTACAACGTAGCCGTTGTTTATATAACTTAGAAAGTGATCCCCATTGGTCTAGTGCACAGTTGTTACAATATCACTGATTCTGTTCCCTGTGCGGTACTTCCCATCCCTGTGCCTGTTTCATAACTACTCATTTGTGCTTCTTGATCCCTCCACTGTTCTCACCCAGCCCCCCAACTCCGCTCCCCTCTGGCCATCATCACATTGTTCTCTGTGTCTATGAGTCTGTTTTCATTTCGTTGGTTCATTTGTTTTGTTCCTTAGATACCACATATAAGTGAGATCCTCTGGTATTTGTGTCTAACTTATTTCACTTAGCATAATAGCCTCTAGGTCATCCATGTCCTAGCAAATGGTAATATTTTATTTTATTTTTTATGGCCGCGTAATAGTCCATTGTACATATGAATCATCACTTCTTTATCCAGTCGTCTGGTTGCTTCCATATCTTGGTTATTGTGAGTAACATGCAGTGAACATAGAGGTGCATAGATCTTTTCAAATTAGTGTTTTGGTTTTCTTTGGATAAATACCCAGAAGTGCAGCTGCTGGTTGATCAGGCATTTCTGTCTTTAACTTCTGAGGGGCCTCCACACTTTTCCACAGTGGCTGCACCAATGCGCAGTCCCGGCAGCAGTGCACGAGGGGTCCCTTTTCTCCACATCCTCGCCAGCACTTGTTTGATTTACTGATGACGTTCCGACAGGTGTCAGGTGATATCTTATTGTGATTTTCATTTGCATTTCTCTGATGATTAGTGACGTCGAGCATCTTTTCATATGTCTGTTGGCCATCTGTCTGTCTTTTTGGGAGAAATGCCTATTCCGGTCCTCTGCCCATTTTTTAATTAGATCGTTTGTTCTTTTTGGTGTTGAGTTGTATGAGTTCTTCATAAATTTTAATATTAACCCCTTATCTGATGTACCATTGGAAAATATCTTCTCCCCAGAGAAGAGTCTTACTGAAGCTTTTTTAATAACACCAGCTCCATTGTTCTGAATTTCAGATACAGGTGATGTTAATAGCTCTGTGTGAAGGTAGATTGAGCCTCCGTTTGACCAACGCTTGGCATTAAAGCTGGAGTCTCTGTTCATAGCATTTCTAGTCTTTCTTTGGTTCCCTAACTCCCTCCAGACAAGCTCAAGTCCTTCTGTTTTTTGGAGGTTTTTTTTTTTTTTTTCTTTTTTTTTGGAAATGTGTCTCAAAAGAATCATATTTTGCGTCATCATAACAGTCTGCCACAGTGAGAGAGTTTATCCTTCTCGTGAGCTATTTTCTAATGGATTTTTGTAAATGTAAATCAGAATCTACCTAGCACTAGCATTAATTCGGTCGTGTTGAACTTGAGCAGTACTGTCTCACAGTGTTGTGGAGATAATACTTGGGTTGGCCTATTCTCCATTTGTAAGAAAAACATTTAATAGATGTTTTATAAATTTTGTTTGTCCTGTAAATAATCATATTTTAGCACTTCTCCAGACTTTTGTGCCTGTTTGCTAATAACTTCGTTATTTCGAATGCATTCAAAACACTGGTAACAAGGGATCCAAATGAGGCCCTTTCCGCAGCCCGTTTGTCACATTTCCTTCCATTTAACTTTCTTACCCCTTAAAATGGTAACAAAGTATCAGATTGAATTATAACAGTATTTTCTTACAGCTCATAAAAATTAAATGGAAAACCTCTTAGTCTGTGTCCCATTATCTCGTTTTCTTTATCATTTGTCCACTTTGCCAGTGCACTCAAGGAATATGTTCATTCTAACTGTTCCGTTTATTTGCTTCGGAATACGTAACAAGATAACCAGTTTTTAAAAACATTTTAACGTAACCGAATTATTGTTTATTAAAGGGCTTGGTATGGTTTTTTTTTTCTGATTTATTCAAAGCTTTAGGAAATGATTTATGAAAATTTAATATTTTATTGATTGTACAGTTTACCATTTCTGCAGAGATTATTTTGTACTCCAACCTTTTACTTTTTCATTAAGAAATTAAATTCCAATAGATCCAGTTTTTTCATAGAGAAGAGGAAGTTGCTCATGCTGCAGTGTTATCAATTCATCTTAATGACTTCGCTCCCTTCAGCATCAAAGCCTTAGAAACGGTGTTCCAGGCTAGATAAAGAATTTGAAATAGAATAATTCATTAGCTAAGCTGTGTTTCTTCTGGTTTTAATGATGTTTATCCTTGCGTTTTATATGAATATGAAAAGGCCATTCCAGAAACTGTGAAAGCAAACAATATATTCTCATGGAATAACACACACACACAAAATAATGTATGGGGAAACGGACATTCGTAGAGGGACATTCAGATGGTACTAGGGAAGGCAGTTTCTTTGCCTTAACATAGAATGACATGATTTTAAAGTTTATTCATTTTGCATCAAAGAAAAGGGATAACTGATATTTCTCTGAGTTTTGGTTCTGGTTCTTCGGGTAATTTTTATGTGGTGGTACTCAGTAAATCTCCTATAGTAGAGCTCCTTTAATTCATGAGCTTCCTGAGATCCAGTAATCTCCTGAATATGTGCAAAAATGGATGGGTTTTTCTGGGTAGCAGATCCATAGCTTATGTCAGATTCTCATAGCGGGCCTCGGACCCTCAGAGCATGCGAACTGCTGTTCTGGAAACTAAATTAGTTTAGAATAAATTTATTATTTAGGGGCTAAGTTGCTTCAGCAAGCATAAGGCTCTTGAAGGCAGGGTTGTATATTCATATCCCTAAACATTCATACACTCTAGAACACAAACAGGGTAGGAATTCGGTAAGTGTTAGACGAATCGATTTGGGAAAAGAAACAGCCACATCCTCAGTTTCCAGGACCGCCATATTTTCCTCAGATGGATTTTGACAGGCCTCACATCAGGAGTAGGGGACGAAGAGCCAGTTTTAAGAAAGTGCGAAATGCCAGGGCTGTGGCCAGCTCGGTTTCCAGCCCTGCCGCTCACCGCCCTGGGGCCTGGGGAGTCACTTCCAATTCTAGGATTCAGAGAGTCGCACTAGATGACCTCAGCGCTCCCCTCCTGCGTCTCCCCTGCTCTGCACCTCCCTCTCACATCTGCACTGAGTTGGCAGAGCCCACTGACCTGGAAAGCCCAGCTCTCCTCCTCGTGGGCGCCTGTCCCGTTTAAACGCTCCACAGGGCATGATGGTCATCTGTACCTGCTCACTGACTTTAGTCTGAGCAGCACCCAGAGACTGAAGGGACCAGTGTCGCCTGCTGATCCAGGAAGGGGACTTCCTGGTGTGACGGAGAGCGCTGGATTTGGAGAAGCGGAACCTCGGGTTAGGTCCAGTCCTCCCACTTAGCCAAATGGTCCAGGACAGGATACTTAGTACGTTTAACCCGTTATTTATTTAACGTTTAGGTTTCGTAACGTGTGACGTACTTAATATAAACTGCACCAATACGTTCAAATTAAATGTTTACATGTTACTATGTTTAAAATAATATCTAGTTTCTCGAATTCCTACAAACAACTTATGTTTATGACAGATACATTGTTAACTGCAAAGTGTTTTACAAATAGTATTAGTATTAAATTTGCGAGCCATATGTAACAGGGAAGAAAGGAAATCTTATTCACGTTACTTTTTTAGAACATGCTTTTAATGACATTCTCATTTTCTGATGGCCTCCAGTGCCATCTTTGGGTAAGTTTCTAACCATGAAGTGTATCAATTTAACATGTCCTCCTTGTCATTAATCTACTACTGTTTTCTTAAGTTACCATCTGCTTTCTGGCCTTTACAATGTCATTTTTGGCATTTTCTGGGTGGATTTTAAGAATTCTCTTGTTTTTTCAATTCCTTTCTTTTTATGTTCTTCTTCTTGAAACTTCTGCTAGCAAAAATATTGATTAGAGAAACTGTCCTCAGGGCCAGTCCTTTCCCTCATTTCCCAGTATGTGACTTGCATAAGCAGTCGAGCTAACGGGCAGGTAAGCCAACTAAAAAGGCCAAGCTCTGGTAACCAATGTAAAGTGAGAAACACGGTCAGTATCCATTTAAAGGAGTGTTTTTACAGTTTATATTTTGGCTTTTTTCCCCTGTAACGTGAACTATGAGAAGAATTCTAGTGTTTGTCCCCTGGCAATTTTTGATCTTTCACTTGAATGTGTTATGCCTAGTCTTTCTGTATATTTTATTATATCTTTAAAATAGAAGCCTCTACAGCATTGCCTTCAAAAATACAAACCATTAGAAACTTCACCTGATTGCTCCCTGTGAAACATCAATTTGCTAAGACCACCTCGAGCCGACGCACAGTTCCAACACGGCACCCACTTACCAGTGTTCCCAAAACTATACATTTCTGTTAAAAGTCTCACCCAGCATCAGTTCTGATAATAAGTAAACTGCTTAATTTCCTTGTGCTGAATCCTCCCCAGTTCAGATCAAGATTCAGGGAAATTTATCTTTAATGATTGAAAATCCCCTCTAAATCAGCAGCCCCAATCATGTCAATCCTGTAGACCATTTTTTAATTCAGAACTTGTTATCGATCAGTTTGCATGCTTTTATTAAAGGAAGTTCAAATCAACATGGACAACTCACAGATTTGTGTGGCTTTGATTTTGAGCGGCTCAGTGCCCACACTTCAAATTCCCCAGCACTAAATAATGCTCAGTGGGCGGTTGCTTATTTGCACAAAATAGACTTTTATAAACAAAGCAGCACAGCAATAAGGTCGAGGTACCCTAATCCTCAGAGTTTGTTTCTAGACAGGCCGAGGTAAAGGCTTGAATAGAAGTAGTTTAAGCACAATTTGGCATCAGTGACATACAGGAAGATACGGTTTTTTAAAGGATAAAATGACT